GAAAAAAGCAATATTAAAATCGTGATATAAACATTTCATATAATTAAAATTCCAGATTACAAATAGACTATAAAACCTATGCAAACTAAAAAAAAGTCCATAACGCAACACTTCACTGGATTAGAAGCCGTATTCAATGATGGGAGGTAAGTGCGCGTGCAGCGGCATTGTGACGTCATTTTTCACAACATTCCGATGTCTTGCTCTCAGCGAAATCAAAACAGGGAAGATATATACACGGTACATTAGTTATCAACAGTCTTTCAATCCTCAATGTCATCTTCATTCTGACTTCATAATAAAACAATTACGGACTATTTTGGTGGTTAATATGGTTTTATAGTTAGTACCCTTACCGGTGAATCCGAAGAAGACTACTAGTATATGTTTTCTCTGAATATGTAGCTGTCCCTCCGTCCGTCTTTCCGTTTGTGCCACTTTGTTTTCCTCACTTTTTTTAAACCTTGCACATATTGAACTATTTTTTGGTTTTGATTTACCTTAATAGGTTAAAAGTATACACGCTATAACTTACGCCAGTTTAAATAAGATTGGAAATTTATACATTTTGTTTATCAATTGAAGTTACGAAAAAACTGTAAACTGAGCAAAGCTCGTTGCAAAGCAGCGAGTAAGTCTTCCGTCCTGTTTGACCTGAAGTAACTTAATTTTTTTGTACAAAAGTGAGAAATAACGCCCAAAATTGGTTTAAATCCTTTAAATCTATGTCAATGAACGCAAAAATAATCCAGTTTTTGTTACTTACGGTTTGACCGGAAGTGACGTCGACGAACGGAAAATTCAGTTTTAGGCTTCAAATGACATATGTTACCCAAAAACTTGTCAAGAATGGCAAAAATACGCGTTTTCAGACTACTTCCGGTTTAGCCGGAAGTGACGACACCAGACGTATTTTGACGACCCAGGTAGATTTAGCTTGAAATTTTGAATATTTTTGCTTCTTTGACGTATTACAAATTCTCAATACTTTTTGAGATATAAAAGAAAAACTTTCGGCATCTCTAGCTCCTAAATTTTAGGAGCCAGCCCTTTTCTCGAGATATCATTTGAAAGATCTTAGAAATCTACACTTCTTTTGTTCTATATGTTTTAACAATATATTTCCAGGTGAAAAGATATCGTAGAAAAGGTGTTAAAAAGTTTGAAATTCGCGATAGGACTATTTTCGGGCCATAGCGAGCGCCGACGTGCGGCACTTCCGATAAAAATGAAATACCTTATACATATCTTTAGACTTTGGTCTATCATACCTGAAGGTTTCATGTTTCTATCTAGAGCCATTGTGTAGAAAGTCTGGAGACAACCAGACCCTTCAAAAATCATAAAAACGACAATATCTCCAAACCGGAAGTGACATCATCAAATCGAAAAAAAATGCATAAGGTTCAAGTAATGTTACATAAGTCCTGAAAGTTTCATGGAAATCCATAGAGCCGTTTTCGAGAAATCGCGTGCACAAAATCGGTAAGAAAAAAGAATAATAACTAGAGCCGAGCTCGTTGCAAAGCAACGAGTAGATCTTCCGTCCTGTTTGACCGGAAGTAACTTTCATTTAAAAAAAAAAGAGTAATGAAGTCCAAAAAGGGTTTAATTCTCCAAATCTATGTTAATTAATGCTAAATTAAGCCATTTTGGCTACTTCCGGCTTGACCGGAAGTGACGTCGACGTACGGAAAATTAAGATTTAAGCTTCTAGTGACATATGATATCCAAAAACCTGTCAAGAACAGCAAAGATATGCAAATTTGGACCGGAAGTGACGTCGCTGGATGTATTTTGACGACGTCATTAGATAAAGCTTGACATTTTGAACAACTTTGCTTCTTTGACGTATTACAAATTCTCAATACTTCTTGAGATATAAAGGAAAAACTTTCGGCCCCTTTAGGCCCCTTATTTTAGGGGCCAGCCTTTTTTTTAAGAAATCATTTGAAAGATCTAGGAATTCTACAATTCTTTTGTTCTTTATGTTTTAACAAAATATTTTCAGGTAAAAAGATATCGAAGAAAAGGTATGAGAAATTTTGAAATTTGTGATAGGTCTATTTTCGGGCCATAGCGAGCGCCGACGTGCGTCATATCCGGTAAATTTGATATACCTGATGCACCTCTCCAAACATAGTTCTACCTAGCCTCAAAGTTTGAAGTTTCTATCTAGAGCCGTTTTTCGGGAAAATTGTGGACAAAATGAATCTTAAAAATCAGAAAATCGACGATATCTCTAGACCGGAAGTGACGTCATCAAAACGGAAAAAAACGCATAAGGTTCAAGTGATGTTCCATACGTCCTGAAAGTTTCATAAGATCTTGTTGAGCCGTTTTCGAGAAATCGCGTGCACAAAATCGGTTAGAAAAAAAACAATAATAATAAAAGTGAAAAAGAAACCGAAGAAAAAAATAAGGTCTTCCGCTGAAGACGGAAGACCTTAACTCGCAAAGAAATCTGCAAAGCTCGTTGCAGAGCAACGAGTAGGTCTTCCGTCCAGTTTCGTCCGGAAGTGACGTCAACAAGAGAAAGCAATGAGTTAAGACGCCTCCAAGGACTTTAAAATTTAAAAGGTTTGAATTTTGCATCAAAACCTTGAAAATAAGCTATTTTTGGCTACTTCCGGTTTGACCGGAAGTTATATCAAAGGATGGAAAATCTGGTTGGACACTTATAGTGCCATTAATTAACCAATAACGTGAAAAAAAGCAAAATTTGCATTTTCTGATTACTTCCGTTTTCACCGGAAGTGACGCCATTTGACGAATTTAGACAATTTAGGCATCATTTCCGGATGACATTAAAGTCACAAGTACCAAAAACTTTATATTTCTCAAGAGAGAAAGTTTAATTTTTCTACTTCTTCCGGTTTACACCGGAAGTTATTCCAATGGATGCGTTTTGCTGACAATTGTGAATGTGAACATAAGTTTTATTTGCCTTTATTCAAAACGGTTGAATTTTTCAAAAAAATATTGAAATTGAATATCACTTCCTGTGTCGACCTGAAGTGACGGATGCAAACTCAAAAGACTCCATGCATATCTCAAAGAGATGTTTTATCATCCCCGAAAATATCGTGATTCAATCTTGAGTGGTTCAGTAAAAGATGATTGGACAAAGTGGCAATTTAAAAAAAGAAAATCGGACAAAGAATGTGACCGGAATTGATTTTTCAAAAAATAAAAAAAAATGTTGTTGGAGATACAACAACAATGCATCATTCCTGTAAAAATCTTTGAAATTGGTTCAGTAGTTTCCGAGAAATCACGTGTACTATGAAAAGGGAATAATAATAGAAAACATAAGAAAAACAGTAAGGTCCCCGAAAATATCGTGATTCAATCTTGAGTGGTTCAGTAAAAGATGATTGGACAAAGTGGCAATTTAAAAAAAGAAAATCGGACAAAGAATGTGACTGGAATTGATTTTTCAAAAAATAAAAAAAAATGTTGTTGGAGATACAACAACAATGCATCATTCCTGTAAAAATCTTTGAAATTGGTTCAGTAGTTTCCGAGAAATCACGTGTACTATGAAAAGGGAATAATAATAGAAAACATAAGAAAAACAGTAAGGTCTTCGGAAGACCTTAATAAAACAAACCTAAGAATAACAAGAAGGTCTTCCGTTGAAGACGAAAGACCTTAAAAATAGTGGAAAAGAAACCTAAGAAAAACAAGGTCTTCCGCTGAAGACCTTAATTACACCATTAAAATTTACCGCGTTATAAAGTTATCAAATTATAATTATTTATAACTCTGCTAGGAGAGAAATGGCTATTTTTAAATAAATCCATCACCTGATTGATAAAAAAATAACATGGCGTGAAGAAAACATAGTAGGCCGTTTGAGATACTACTAACTTTTGACGTGGAAGGCAAGCATCTTACTCTTAATGATACTTATCTTTTAATGTAATCAGTATTAACCATCTGCTTTGTTACATATTAACCTTTTATTAATAATTGTTGTCAAAATGCGTATATCTCGTTGTCTGTGATTTCCCGTGGACATGCGTGTCTATATAAAGGCCTACTGTTTACGCACTTCCTTCATCAATATTCATAAAAAGATTGAATTCTTAATTGCCAGATATTGCTTAATTGTTTTGTTATTACAACGACGTCAATAGTAAAATTTTGTGGAAAGTATTATTTTTTTCATTACACTTCAAGTGTTTCAATTTATTAATCATTTTGTTTCACACAAAATTTGGCGTTCATATAGCATGTATTACTTTAAAAATAAAGTTTGAAATTCATTCCACTTCAATGATTTTTTTGGAATCACAACATTTCCAGGTTTTTATTTTTTTTTAGGGGGGGGGGGGGGGGGGGGATGGCTACTCTTCTCAGAAGGGGATTAATATTGCTATGGCAATTCTCTCAGAATGCTTGTTAACCATAAAATATCAGTATTTACCGAGGCGAAGCCGCGGTCAATATGAACATTTTTCTGAATAACAAACCAAATTCACCGACTAAACAGTCCATAATTATTGAACAATACTTTTTTATATCGTAGCTCATGAATTATTTCTATTTAAAATTCGGTATTAAAATCACTGTACCGGAAAATCATTTATAGCCTATCTTCGCTAGTCATGTGTCCGATTCGTTTCCCTCATCATCTTTGCTAGGCAAGTGTCCGAATCCGAATCGGAAACTTGGCTAGGCAGCGAAGATGTTTATAGTTTGAAAAACATCTTGACTAATGTGTGCATGTATCTTATTATTATATTATTATATTATTCACCCACTCTATGAGGAGAAAATTCCAAAATACATTTTAAGTGACGTAGGCTTTGTATATATGTTTGCTTATGAAATTAGTTTTGTTGTATTATATTTCTTTTTTTGACATCAATCGATTAATGATCAAAACATGTGATATGATATTATTTTTGACAATATGCTCAAGTTAATCGCTAAAATATTTCATAGCCCTTTTTTGAGCATTTTGCATGTATAAAGAGAATTATAAAAACAACTAACGCTATCAAAGAAATTATAAGGGCTACAATGAGGCCAATTGGCACATTCTTCTGGTTTTGATCTGTAAACGAGAAAACAAATCGTAATGAATCAATTAATGCAAGAATTGTGAAATAGACTTAAATTAGCAAAGATATACAAATATATTTACATTTTTAGTATTTTCTTTTAGATAACACTTCTGAAAGCTATGCATGATGCGTATCTATTATAGCTTTGTATAGGATTATATTAAACATGTTAAAACTTTATATAGTTTTATATAGGATTTCAATGTTCTTTTTTCAGAATTTATCGTTGTATAAATTCATGCCGTTGTACTCACAAACTGAATAAAACTGTGTTTCACACTTTTATGCCTTTCTTTGATAGGATTAAAAAAATTATACTTTTTTCTCACAAAGTACGAGGGGTGTCAGAAAATTTTGCTAACTAATTAAATAACTTTCATAGAACTATGAAAATTAGGTTTCGGTGTTCATTATTTTGTTTAAAGAAGTCCTCTCCAATCTTTAATGAACATTTTCCGTTGTTCTGTCAATGCATCAATCACGTGATCCGGACAACCACTTGATGTGTTACGTAGCTTTCAGTTCATCAAAGCTAAAATATTTTTCCGAATCTTATCTTAACATACAAGTTATTTGTTTTATAACAAGAACAGTCCATTTTTCCGAAATGGCCGATTCTTGGTAATGGTTTGGGTGGATTTGGAGCTTTTCCCAATAAGAGGATGGTGACCATCCCAACCCGATTCCTCTGTCTTTGGAACATCCTTTATCTAATATTGATATAAAATGGTGGCCTTCTTTCAATTATATCTGATATGCTAAAGTAAAGTCTAAAGTAAACAACATTTTAGGGATTTGATATTATCATTATTGTTAAGATATACAACTATTTTTCAAACTCTAGCTTGGCGATCTTTCACGACAAATTGTTCCACTAAAGACAAATCTCTTCCTCAGTTTGTTTTTATTGGGCATTAGAACAAATGTCAGTTTCAACCATTCTCTCGTCCTTAACTTAAAATAATCAATCCAAATTAATATTGGACTTCTGGAAAGTTATTTGTCTTCTTCAACAAAAATGGAACTCGTAAATTTACTTACCTCGTCATTGGTCATTTGAAAAATTATTTTGTTAAAACAGATTCTGATTGCACACATAAGTACTCTGAAGTTGATATCAAGAAGATGCTTGAGTTTCTGATTGACAATATCTATGTGGTTTTCGGAGACCAGGTATTCCAACAATCTATTGGAATTCCCATGGGTACAAATTGCGATCCGTTATTAGCAGACTTATTTTTATATTCATATGAAGCAGAATTTATACAAAATCTTATGCGTGAAAAGAAGAAAACACTTGCTGTGGCCTTCAACTCGACATTTACATATATCGACGACGTATTGTCAATTAATAATGATAATTTCCATTCCTACGTCGATACGATATATCCTGGTGAGCTTGAGATAAAAGATACCACAGAGTCCGACACTTCTGCTTCATACTTGGATATTTTACTTGAAAAAGACACTAATGGTAATCTAACAACCAAGCTATTTGATAAACGTGATGACTTTACGTTTTCTATCGTCAACTTCCCTTACTTATGCAGCAATATTAACCTTCATCACCTGCATACGGAGTATATATATCTCAGTTGATTCGATACGCAAGAGCGAGCTCTACGTATGAACAATTTCTTAAACGAGGTAAATTATTGACAAGCAAGTTGATGAAACAAGAATATCAACAGTCTCGTTTAAAGTCATCATTCCGTAAATTCTATGGTCGATACAATGACCTTGTCAGCAAATACAATTTATCATTGAGTCATATGCTGACTGACGTTTTTCATACCAATTGTTAGTCCATTATTTATACACTGAATTGACGACGGATTTTTTCCGTTATTTCCTGATCATGACAACGAGCACACGGCGGGTGTGACCGGTCGGCAGGGGATGCTCACTCCTCCATGGCACATGATCCCACCTCTGATGTTTCAGAGGTCCGTGTTTGCTCTGCTCTTATTTTGTATATTGTTTAATGGACGTTGAGATTGAATACTGTTCGTTATCTCCATATCCTTCTTGTCTTCAGTAACCTTGTAAATATTATGACATGCTACTTCAAAGGAGTTTCCAAGTTATATCATAAACTTTACAGTCGTTCCCTGCTAGAGTAAGACTGTGTGGACCTTTTTTGTCACTAGTCAACTACATATTGACATCATTTCCATACTTTGACGTCACAATCATGAAACAAAACATGAACAATATGCTATTTATAGAACCTGTCTATGACTATATGTGTACCAAATATTATACTGATCTGAAAGTTGCTTTTGTAAATGAAATATATGGAAAAAAACAAACACTATTCAAGGTCAAAAGTCCATTAAACAATACAAAATATGAGTAGAGCAAACACGGACCTCCAAAACAAAAGAGGTGGCCATGGGATCAGGTGCCATGGAGGAGTGACCATTTCCTGCCGACCGGTCACACCCTCCGTGTGCTCCTTCTCATGATCTTCAAATAACGGGAAAATCCGTTGTCAATATAAATATAGAAAGTTCGCAATTTTTTTTAATCACCCCTCGTACATAGTGTTACGTGATGAAAACAATTTATTTATATAACAAATAGATTCTATCTCCACAAAAAAGTGTCTAGATAAAAATGCAACCGGTATTTCTCTGTCTTGATACATATAAAGCCTTTGAAGTCTTCGTTCAAATAAACCATTAAGAACATGATAACTAGATTTGTACAGTTTCAATTAAAAAGAAACAAATCATATTTAGTTGCATGGAATTGCAAATTCTGAACATGTTATCAATTAAATAGACTGATTCTGATATCCCATGTATGCCCCTTATGAAATAAAACTTTTCATGTTATACACTCTGGGAAGTATTTGTTTATGAAAAACAACTTTATACCTGCATTATAAAATCAAGATTTACATTAATAATTTTCAAAGGGAATTTTCATGGATTTATAAACGTGTATTAAGCTCAAGCGCTACCTTTATATCCTTAGTCAGAATTTCTCAAGAAGTGGAATTCCAAAACAAATGCAATGTTGGTACAAAATGGAATATTTCAACCTTCAACAATGGGTATTTATTGTATAAAATATGATATAGCATTTTTGAAATTCTATATGTTCCTTGCTATTCAGATTTTTCAGGGATTTTAGAGAAATGTCAATGTTTTTTGCACTAATATTAATTTTAATTGCCATTAAAAAAACTTGTATATTATTATTTAACTTTCATGTCTTCTCATTAAAAAATGGAAAAAAGGCATGGTTTATTTGTATATATATATATATGTTAGGATGTGTGTGTATGTATCCACAAGACTGTGTTAAGGAATAATGAATGGGCAGTTCCTTCCTTTTCTTTGCACTTACCTGTGTTCGTTTTGATATCAACGTGCCAACAGGATTGAAAATTGTCAGGTTTCTCCGGATAGTCATCTTTAGCTTCCAATAAAACCATAGCCATCCCATTAGTATTGTGAAGATCAATATGACAGTGAAAGAACCATGCCCCGGGGTTATCGGCTTTCAATCGAATCACTACATATCCACCAGTCGGTACAATAATTGTGTCCTTCTTTGCTGGAAATGTTGTTAGGAGACCCGTGATAGATGAAGCATTAAGATCCCAGGAATCATTTTTCCATGAGGCTGAATTGCAATAACCCTTTGTACCAAAACATTCAATGTCATCTGTTTCTGAAATGAATTTTGCTGTAACATTATCGTAAGTACCAAAGCCCATTTTCAATACGTAAAAATAGTGTCCATGAAGATGCACTGGATGTGACCATCCACGACCATTTCCAATGTTAGTTAGAACAAACTGATAAACTTTGTCTTTGACGAGATCTGTAGTATATGTACAAGTGCAGATAGAATCATCTGTACACTTTGATGGGTTACAGACAGAGCTATAACTTACACCAGAAATAATAGGATATTCTGGTACTTCAAACTGATGTCCATTTATTGACCCAGGGGTATTTCCTGGTTCTCCAGGAAAGGCAAAATTGAAAAAGAGTGTTTCGTATACTTCAGTAACGTCGTTGAAATTTGATGTTGTTTCATTTCCAAAAACATTATCATACGTGATACATTCTCTGTTTGATTCAGCAGGATAATATCGGAATGGACAGTTGAATGTTGTACATGGTTTTTCCTTTGAGCAAGGGTTAGGCAAAGCTTTTGTCGGGTATGTGAAAGATGAATTTTTATAATGGATAATAGCCTCAACTGCTCGATATTCATTAAGAGAAGCTGGAATTACTTCAATGCTTTCTGCAACCAACAGGTAGGTTCCTGGACTTTGATTAGTTTTCAATATGAAATCATATCGTTCCCCAGGGTGAATTATGAATGACTCAACCACTATTTCTTTTGATTCATTACCATAACCTCCTTGGATTTCATATCCATCGGACGCTTTCAGAATCAGTTCTGGATGCCCTTCAACAAACACACGAAAAGGGTACAATGTTGCTGCACTTATTATTCGAAAACGATAGAGCTTATTAGATTCAACTTCGAATTTTACTAAAGGAGCTTCATTATTTGAATTCAATGTTGAATAAAAGCGGCCTTTTCCATTAAAAATCCCCGAATGGAAATGAAATCGACTAAAGTTTGCGCCATCAACTGCTTGTGAAGTGTTTATTTTGGTAAGGGTTGAAAGATCATATACCCCCTTTAACATTCTTTGGTAAATTGCTTCAGGATCGTCACTGTGATTCCAATCCTGTAAAAGAAGTGAAAAACCTTCCTGTGGTTGGGACAGCTTTTGTCGTGGGTAAATAACTAATCCTCCATACAACCCCATGCTTCTTTGATCCCCAATATGGGCGTGGTAAAAGAAAGAACCGTGGGGGTATGTCTGAAACTTGTGCGTAAACGATTGTCCTGGTGGTATTGGACATTGCGTAACAAACCCAACTCCATCGTAATGGACAGTTCCTCGTTGATGTTGACCATGCCAATGGACAGTTGTCGAGTCTGTGTGCATAAGGTTGCGGACATGTATGATCATCGTTTGATTTTCATACGCTTCTATTAGAGGACCAGGAAATTTTCCATTGATAAGGATAACGAGACGCGATCCATATCCATCAGCAGTTATAACATCTTTCGTAACCTCCTGTGGCAGTGGGTGTTCTGCTGTTTTATCATCATATTTATAAAGATTTCCTCCTTTTGGCCAAACTAAAAATGGATCAGGGTGAGAAGTCATCATTGTTAAACCATGTTCTATGGTAAAAGAACATTCACATGTGGTATCGAATTCTCCACATGTACCCTTTAAACATGTTGGTCCATTTTCTGGGCTCTTCCACCAACCATGTCCATTGGTTATTGGAAAGCCAGAAAGTAGTAAAAAAGTAAAATACATCGGAGTCCTGTAACAAAATGCAGATAAGAAAAATGAATATTGAAGAAACACAATCTCTCTAGGGGATAAAATATCGCTGAAATTTTGTCATCTAAAAAAGTTTCATGGGCATTGAATTTGTATTTCTGCTTTTACTATTCAAAGAAATTATATACTAAAAGGAAAAAGAAACGCAGGGTAAACTTTTGAGGTGAATAAATTTTATTTGTCTTCATTTTTTTCAGTATTCCTATCTAACTTTTAATATCATCTTTCAAAAAGATTTAACTAAAACCCAATTAGATTTTGTCTAATAATTCATGAGTTATAAAAACTCACATGACGATACCTCCAAAAGTGAAAATCGAAAACTCTCATGATCCTCAATAAGTCTCCGGCGCATCCGTCAGAGCGTTATTTATCCTTTGCATAGAATTTATCAGAGTGTTTATCTTTCAAACCCTGGCTATATTGGGCATGGGTAACCAAAAAAGTAGTCAAACGACGCGCGCGTGCGCCGGTAAGAGGAATACAACAGTAAGTTGGCCGGCTCAAAGAATCCAATTGCGGATTTATTTTCTTTCATTTTTCGTGTGAATGTAATGATTATCATTGTCTACTGTATAAATAACGGTTTATATGGTAGTAATGTGGCGATTTAAGAGATGGCAGGACGAATAAATCACCCTTAACATGACTCTGTTTCGCGTTAACGTCATCGTCACGGTTGATTGAAAACAATCCCAGACCTGCTCTGACAACGGGTAACAAGTTTTATGGGGGAAAATCTACAAGAAACTGCTTAGTTACCCGTTGTTGTCATTTTCATTAAATAGGCAAATTTGAAAAGCAGACCCCACGTAACTTCCCTAAACTGTACCAAGATTGCAAGAAATTCATACCGTCTCTAAGTATTGAAAAACGATGTGTACACCTCAGGTGCATCAATGGTGTAACAAAATTTGTTGATTAACTCGCCATCATCAAATTGCACGTATTTTGGACTTTTAAGCGTTTTCCCTACGTAACATCATATAGTTTACGGTTGAGTAGTTCTGAACACTGATTTTGGTGCATAGTAACTAAATTTCTTTTTTTTTCGGTCTTGCGGTCAAAAAGTTTTCGAAAATTATGTTACCCTGCGTTTCTTTTTCCTTTCAGTATATATTATTGCTGTGATACAGCAACCAATTTTCCTTAGATTTAAACATCAAAGTTTTAAATGATTTGAGGATCACATACAAATCTCAAACCAAATGTTTACCCCCCCTCCCCCCCCAAAAAAAAGAGAGGTGAGGATGTGTTTTAGAGATCAATATCGGGGCATCCTGCATTACTTCATAAATATATCTATGGAATGTTTTAAACATAAATTATGTGCAACTTGAAAAATATAGATGAAAGGCCTACTATAGTTAACAATGCTCGTTTGTTAAGGTAGTACTAGTATATCGATTGATTTTGCACACGACTCATAATACGTATGGGACATTCAGCACATTACGTACATGTAAAAGGTTATTCAAACTATATATTTGCTTGGCCTTCACTTTGCTAGGAATATTCCTGAATATAATATAACCGATCATGATGATAACAAAATATTCACTTACAAAATTGACATAGTACTATCATGAATACTATTTCCTTGCTAATTTAGAAAAACACCCCGTAAAAATCAGATTTATTCATTTGTCTTAAGATTTAGCTGGTTTGTTTTTATGTTCCTTATCCTTTTTCTAAATTATACATTGCATCTATTATGTATTTTTCAAAAACTGAAAGACATGCTTGGTGATTTAGAAAAAGTGGGTTGAGAAGAACCACGAGGTCCTGACAGATCGATTAAGGCCGGTTTACACGGTAAAGCAAGCTGTATACAGCTTGTCGTATACAACTTTTGTAATATGTTACCTACCTGTACACACGGTAAAACAGGTTTATATTCAATTCTTTGTTATGCAAACAAATAAAACGCCCTTATAAGGTTCGATTTAATCGACATGGAAACATTGGAAGAGGAACAATGTGTTATTTTAATTTGTATCATCATCATCATGTCTGCATTACATTTGAGCCAACAAAGAAGGGGGAGACCTTGGGTAAGGCAGTGGATTGGGAGGAGGGACAACCTTGGTGCATACCATGCACTCATTGCAGAGCTTAGGAATGAAGATCCTTCGTCTTTGAAGAATTTTCTGCGAATGGATTTTGCAACCTTTAATGAGCTTCTGCAGTCTGTCTCGCCATTGATACAGAGGAGAGATACCCTCATGGGAGATGCAATTTCTCCTGCAGAGAGACTTGCTCTAACCCTGCGTTTTTTGGCCACTGGTAAAAGGAATTAATATATAGCTAGCATACTGGTATTACGAATTAGTAATACATATATTGCTTAAATAATAAGCTTGCATTCATGCACTGCCACATTGATATATATATTATATAACATATATTTTATCACTGAGTTGGATTAACCAACTCTTTTCAAACAATTTACTTACATTTGTTTCAGGTGATAGCTATCGCTCTCTCGAGTATCTTTATCGCATTCCTGTATCTACAGCCTCTACGATAATACCAGAAACGTGTATTGCAATATATAACGCTTTGAAAGAAAATTACTTGAAGGTAATACGCTTTATTTTCATATGAAATGCTGTTTTTTTATTGTCGTATATGTGACAAAAAGCAACATTATTAAAAGTAATTGGAAGCATTGCCTGATGTTTCTGCATCATAAACACACGGATTCCAAAGTGGTATGCGCTGTTTAATTACATTTTGGGGGGACACATTCTGTTGTTGTATTTGAGTAAATTCACTTTGGGATTGACTTTGAGCAACGTCGTCTTTGTCTTGAGCTTCAAATATGACGCGCTGCAATTTGATTTTCACTTCGTTTTTTATGCTCTTTGATTTTATTTTCTCTAGCTCATTTGCCAAATACGTAGCAAAAACATGGTCTTCTTTTTTATTTTCTGTGACAATGCTTACTTGAGCTGTAGCTGTGTTTCTGTTCTTGATTTTGTTGAGAACATCTACGGCTTCAGACATCACCGCCATAGCTCCTGTAGATTTCCTCTTTTTGCCCTTCCCCTCATCTGAACCACACGTTTCTTTGGATTCTTCATCATCTTTCTCCACTGAACTGCAATCCTACATAAGAAACATATGATGTGTACATGTATAAATGTTTTTCTATTTCAGATCCCACAAACACAACAAGAGTGGATGGCTATTGCGAATAGTTTTGATGAACAATGGGACTTTCCCAATTGCACTGGAGCTATTGACGGAAAACATGTTTTGATTAAGTGTCCAACAGGGAGTGGTTCAACCTACTTTAATTATAAAAATCAGTTCAGTATTATTTTGTTAGCATTAGTTGATGCTGATTATAAGTTTTTATACGTTGACGTTGGAACTAATGGAAGAGCCAATGATAGTGGCATTTTGGCAAGGTCTGCCTTGATAGAAATGATAGAAAGTGGCAATATGAATTTACCGCCTCCCCGCCCACTTCCTGAGCGTCATTTAGAGGTACCATTTGTCATTGTAGGTGATGATGCCTTTCCCCTTCAACCTTATCTTATGAAACCCTTCCCCAAAAGACAATTAGACTTAGAAAAGCGCGTATTTAACTACAGACTGTCCCGGGCAAGACGGGTTGTTGAAAATGCATTTGGAATTTTGTCTAGTCGCTTCGGTATTTTCCAAAAGCCATTGTCATTTGATCCTGACAAAGTCAAGATTTTTGTTTTAGCGTCTTGTGTTCTGCACAATTATCTGAGATCGAAGGATTCAGCGAGACAAATATATACACCGGAAGACATGTTAGAGGAATCTGACAAAAGATGCAGCACTGAAATGGTAGGTAGCTGTTTGAGGGGTATTACTCAGCAAGGTGGCAACAGATGCAATTCTGATGCAAGATCTGTGAGAGATGAGTATTGTGACTATTTTAATACCAATGGCAGTGTTGAATGGCAATGGGATTTATCATAAACTTACCAAATTGCTGACAGATTTTCTAGGTGTTATCTGTGGTCTCAGAAATGCGTCCAGTGAGTCGAAGTACATCCACTTACTTTTGTACAAATCATCGGTACTTGCTCCACTTTTTGTACTCTTGCTTGTTTTTGCCAGTTCCCTAGCGTAATAGGATCGGAGATGTTGAAGCTTTTGATTAATTTCTAAAACTATAAGAAACAAACAACTGAATCATGTTCAATAAAACTAAATACAGGCACTAGTATAATTATGTTTTCTTCTTTGAATTATGCTGGATATTAATTATAAAACAGGTATTAGTATGGTCGGATGAATAGATGCGAACAACTTCCTCCCACCCAATTACTATAAAAATAAATAATGCATCATAATAGTTTTTGATAATTCAATAATTCATATTTGTGATTTTTTTTTATTATTTACAATATATTTACAATCATACCAGTAAATTTTCCATGCATTCCTTCGCTGACTCTTTCCAGCGCTCTTTGTCTAAAATCTTTTTTGGAATAACTGGGGGTACTTATGTCCCATAGGTCACTTTCCCCTTGATAGAGAATTATCAAATCGTCCATTTCCTCCTTACTCCAAGTACAAAGTTCTTTTTTCTTGGAGCACGCCATATCTCATGTACAGGTACACGTATAAAAAGGTTGAAGTTTTCTTAAAAATAACGAAGTGGTCCGTGAAGCATAAATAGATCAACCGAATCCCAGGCCTCTGATTGGCCAGAGAAAAAAAATCTCATACAACTTGCTGTATAGAATAGAGACACTTTCTATTCGAACGCGTGGAATATATGATTTCGGGGAGCTTTAAATTCCGTGTAATAGCGGCGTACACACGGTGACATTTTGCTGTATACGACAAGGTTTATACAGCTCGCTTTACCGTGTAAACCGGCCTTTAGTAGTCGATTTAGACATACAATGAAGCGCATTGAAGTGGTAAAATTTTCCGTTCGAATGGAACGTTTTGGGCGATCTTAAGAACGTTTATTGTCATCTTAT